GATACGCTGCCCTGATGCCCTGCAATAAGTATCCAACAAGTTTGATACCCTGTCTGCACCCTCCACACTAGCCTTGAATAGCAGCAGGTTGTCGTCTGCGAATAAAAGGTGGTTGACGGACGGAGCCGTGGGTGCCACCTTAATACCCTGCAAAGACGATGACAGAGAACTAGATTTTAGGAGGCACGAAAGGCCCTCTGCTGCAATCAAGAAAAGGAAAGGGGAGATAGGATCTCCCTGCCGAATCCCTCTTGATGGGTTGAAATATTGGAGCTTCTCTCCATTAAACATGACTGAAAAAGAGACCGAGGACACCATAGATATCACAATATCTATCCAAGACTGTGCAAAACCCAATCTCCCCATGATAGCTCTTAAGTACAGCCACTCTAGCCTATCATAGGCTTTCATCATATCCAACTTAAGCGCACAGTAGTTGTTGCTCTTCGACCTGTTGCGCTTCATAAAATGTAAGCATTCGTAAGCAAAAATTATATTATCTGTTATAAGTCTGCCGGGCACGAAAGTGGACTGCTCATGTGAGATTATCTCTGGCAACACGAGCTTTAACCTGTGAGCTACCACTTTTGAGGCAATCTTGTACAAGACGTTACATAGACTTATAGGCCAGAATTGTGAGAGAAGAGTTGGGTTCGTCACCTTGGGGATCAACACAAGAATCATATTGTTAATGCACTCCGGGTTCTTTTCCCCTCTGACAGTCCTGAGAACAACATCAGTAACATCTTCCCCACACACATCCCAATGTTTTTGGTAAAATTGGGCTGGAAAACCATCTGGACCCGGAGCCTTGGTGGGAGACATCTGAAAAAGTGTTGTATTAACTTCGTCCCTCGTATATGGAGCACATAAGTTAGCGTTCATAGCCGCTGTTACCTTCCTCGGAACATGTTCGAGAACATCTTGTATGCCTTGACCCCCCTCAGAAGTATACATATCATTATAAAAATTGTGCACCAAAGTCCTCATCTCACCTAGGTCCTTTGTCAACACTCCCAAAGCGTTTTCCAGCGCCCGAATCATATTCTTTTTTCCTTCGCATACTCTCCCGTAGATGAAAGAATTTCGTATTCTTGTCACCAGAAGAAAGCCAATCAATCCATGCTCTTTGTCTCCACATTATTTCCTCTCGGTGGTAAAGCTCAATGAGCCTCTCATTTATTTTCAGTTCCACATGGCTAGGCGCTGTCCTCAAGGGGTCGCTGAGGGAGTCCTGGGTTAGGGGGTTCTCGGACAGCCGAACTATATACTTTGGCCGGACTGTTGGACTATGAAGATACAATATTGAAGACTTCGTCCCGTGTCCGGGTGGGACTCTCCTTTGCGTGGAATGCAAGCTTGGCAATTTGGATATGTAGATCTCCTCCCTTGTAACCGACTCTGTGTAACCCTAGCCCCCTCCGGTGTCTATATAAACCGGAGGGTTTAGTCCGTAGGACGAGAACAATCATAATCATAGGCTAGCTTCTAGGGTTTAGCCTCTACGATCTCGTGGTAGATCAACTCTTGTAATACTCATATCATCAAGATCAATCAAGCAGGAAGTAGGGTATTACCTCCAGCGAGAGGGACCGAACCTGGGTAAACATTGTGTCCCCCGCCTCCTGTTACCATCAGCCTTAGACGCACAGTTCGGGACCCCCTACCCGAGATCCGCCGGTTTTGACGCCGACATTGGTGCTTTCATTGAGAGTTCCACTGTGCCGTCACGATAAAGGCTTGATGGCTCCTTCGATCATCGGCAATGATGCGATCCAGGGTGAGGTTTTTCTCCCCGGACGGATCTTCGTATTCGACAGCTTCGTACTGCGGGCCAACTCGTTTGGCCATCTGGAGCAGATCGAGAGCTACGCCCCTGGCCATTGATGTCTACTACACAACCTTCTTGTTGTAGACGTTTTTGGGCCTCCAAGTGCAGAGGTTTGTAGGACAGTAGCAAATTTCCCTCAAGTGGATGGCCTAAGGTTTATATATCCGTAGGAGGCGTAGGATGAAGATGGTCTCTCTCAAGCAACCCTGCAACCAAATAACAAAGAGTCTCTTGTGTCCCCAACACACCCAATACAATGGTAAATTGTATAGGTGCACTAGTTCGGCGAAGAGATGGTGATACAAGTGGTATATGGATGGTAGATAAAGGTTTTTGTAATCTGAAATTATAAAAACAGCAAGGTAACTAATGGTAAAAGTGAGCATAAACGGTATTGCAATGCGTTGAAACAAGGCCTAGGGTTCATACTTTCGCTAGTGCAAG